GCCTTGATCAACAAGTTTAATAGCCAGTAACACATTCTAGTTGACAGGTTAGTTACTACAGGAAGTGACTATATTTTTTTTCTCTTTAGAAGACTGCAAACATAAAAAAAAATTACTTACGCCATTTTGCCAGAAAAAGCCAGTGCACTTAGCCGTTGCACTGCCGGTTTGTTGCCGCTGCAAGATTAGCTGCCGCACGCCTCTACACTGCCATTTTGGCCCACTAAAGCTACTATGCGCAAAGTGTGTTTACTTTAGGAGCTGTAGGAACGAAGAGCAGGTAGAGCCGTCGCGTGGGGATTATATAGGAACGAAGTACTACTGCGTATATCACTCCGCACCAAGCGCGAGGGCGTTTGTTCACTGTGAAACCAGCAGCGCGAGTGGGAGGTCTTCACAACAGTATTTATAACGTCAACAAAAGCGTGGCCACTCGACTATGCTGGTTAAGTTAAACAAACGAGCCTTTTTTGTGCGTGCGATCCCTCCGCCTGACTCATGTTTATAACTGGTTGGATGAATCATAGCTTTTACAACGGACAAAGTAGATCCACAGGCTGCTGTGACGTAAAATATAGGTCAAATCCAGGATGTAAACATTGAGTATTGAGTATTTTATGGGCCTTTAGCTGTTTTACTGTTTGTAAAAAAACCCCATCCAAATCGCATTTTTGCAATAATATTCATTGTACTGGAGCGAAGATGTCTATTGTTTTAACTGGCCGACAGTTAATTTAGATCACAACGTGTCCCATTTTATATTTTATTCACATACAGACGGACATGATTCACTGCTTATGTCTAACACATGTAGGGTCACACCCTTGTCATTTTGAGCAGCCTCTGGTCAAACAAGCCTGGTAACTATTATTTGGACTGAACAAGACTGTGCAGACTGCAGAGCGAGGAGTCTCACTTCATACATTTCATCATAATTATTTTTTTCACCCTACATGAAGGTTTCATGTGGTTGGGATGGTTTTGTAAAGGGAAGATATTATTTTAGATGGGGAAGTCATTTAATGACTGTCAAAGTAGTCAGCGAGGTAAATAAAAGGCTGATTGTCACTCAAGTGCACTGTTCCTTTTTTCAAACCGAAGATAAAGATGGTGTTGAAGCCAAATATTAGAGCAGCCCCCTAAAACCCAAAATTGGCATCTGAATGAAATCTTCAGCATTGTTTGTAGATACACTTGTTAGAGCCAGTCATAGTGTAATAAGCAAGTAATGACAATAAAGCAAACATAGATTAAAAAAAACAAAAACAAAACTCCATCCAAAGTTGAAATAGGGGTGGAAACATCAAACTTGTTCTGCAGACAGTACTGAAAGATTCAAGCTGCAGGACAGTGACTCTGAAAGTACACCTGGGTCTGGTTTGTGCTTCTCCAAAACCAGTGTCTCTTGCTATGTTTTTTGTAGTCGTTTTAATCTCACTGAGATATAGTTTGACTACATTTCTGTAATTGTAATACGGTCTGTATGACCCACAGTCCGGTCTGGTACCTGAGTAGGTTTATGGAGAACATTCAAAATGTTTCATTTTAAGCTTTCAGTTAACAACCACTCACATTTGTGTGTAAATTGTTTTTAAATGTTATACGTAAAACTATACCACATATAAAGTCAAGCTAGGAATGTCAAAAGTTTACGTATTTTCAAAATGTGTACTCAGCATCAGCTGAAATGTTTTAAAAGAAGGACTACACTGCCCCTGGTGGATGGCGTCAGTCTTTATTTATTAGTCTTATTTTAAAAATGTCATTGGATTCAGTTTAACACGTAGCTTAAGCTGTTAGATTATCTTGAAAGAAAAAACAGCTAAAGTAAGGGAGGTTAACACAATCTCAGTTTTATACAGCATTAATAACCACATGCCATTTAAAAGAAACTGCTTGAAGTTACAATTCCTAAAGTTGCACCAAAAGCTTTGTTCTGTTTTCAAACCTGTTGCCAAAGAAGTAATATATATACACCGATCAATAAACATTTGTAAAAACTGAAAATTAACATTAAAAGACAACCCCAAAACAAAAGATATTCAAGTGGAGAAAAATACCCTCCTAACAATACTTTTCAAACAGTTCTTTGATTTTGATGAACTCATCCAGTCCTTTCTGGAGATCCATCATCAAGGAGCGGAGTTTCTTTGCCAACTTTGACTCAAAGCCCTTCTTCACCTTGGTTCCATCTTTTCCTTTGGTGAAGTACATATCCATGCCGAGGGCAAAGCCTTCTATCATCCCAGACGCCTTAGAGTTTGCCTCCAAGGCCGTGGCACATGCACCTCCTTGACCACAGAACTCCAGCACCTTGGAGGCCCTCTCTGACTTCACCTTTGTGTTCTCAAGCGTGAACACACCATGCTGCCTCAGCTGCTCTATGCCCTCATTAACATAAAACAATTTCTCCTGAATGCACTTACTGAGGGACTCGTAGTTGGTAAAGATCTTCTCAATTTTCTTCTGGTCCTGGTTGCATTTCACCTGGAAAAACATGCTTCACAATCAGTTCAATACCAGAAATTCAGATTACTAGTGTGGGTAGTTTCCAGTTAGTACCCTTTATTTATTGTGATAACATAAAAACAGGGCTTTTGATCTTGAGAGACTTTATATTGTAAAAGAAGACATTCAGCATTTTAGATTGAAGTCCTGGACCTCCAACGGTCCCCTATGACAGCAAACACTTAGACAGTGGGGAGAAGTGTTCTCGGCCAAGACACTGAAGCCCAAAAACTCAGATGCATCACTGGAGTGTGAAAGTGATAAAGAAAAGCTGTGATTGTTTTTAACAGCAGAATTTAATCAAGCCAGTGCCTTAAAGACCGTCACCTTATTTGCGATGGCTGCTGATGCACCAGTAACACCGCGGCTGCAGCCACGCCGACCCCGACAGCATTAGTGCCAGCGAGGCTCCCAGCGTAACGGGACAGGATCACCCAGCACTGCTGCCACACCTCCTGCTACAGTGTAGCGCCTCCTGTGATGCCAGCGATTTTTGTCCCCTTGAAACCTGAAAAAGAAAATGATTAAAAAGGAACCTATGGACACAGATGTACATATATCCATAAATATATCCACACCACCTTATCCAAGTTGTCAGCGATGGAGCCAAGCTCGTCTATTTTTTCTTTCAGCCCGCTTGACACCCAGATTCGTCGAGATTAAGAATGAAAGCTTATGAAGATGTTCGGTTTTAACTTCTATGACCCTAGAATGTGTTATAAAAACTTTATTAATTCACCTTTAATATCAACAAAACCATTTGCATTTTAAACACACTTATTCATGATCCGCAGATAACAGACTGTAATAACTTTGGTGATTCTCTGACTTTTCCTAAATTAGGAAAAGCACTGCATTTATCACGGATAACTGGAAAACTGCACTTTAATTTACAGTGTAAGTCTTCATTTGCTTCACGAGCTGCTTCTTTTGTTCATGGCAGATTATTTGGTGAAGCACGTGTGTCATGACTGCCTGCTGTGAGTATATCTTTTCTTAAGCACTTAGTTTTACGTGTTTCATACTATTAAAGTTGTTTGTATTAAAAGTCTGCTTTTTTTTTGGTTCTTTTCTCTACAGAAGTATTTGGACCAGATGGAAAGCAGCACTCAGGACACTATTTGACAATGTCTAAAAAAAAATCAGTGTGAATCTGCGTGTCGTTAATCATTTGAAGCAGGAGGCATGTAATGAAAGTACAGGAAAGACTCCTCCAAACAGCTCAAATCGACAACTAACCTCAGATGTGTTTAGCCGCACTATTCTGATGAATCTCATTTAGTAAAAATAAATACTTAAAAAAAAAAAACAACTCTGAACATCTAATGTTTGGTTGCTAAGGAAAATAAAATGTTCTTTGTCCATGTTTATGGAACTTATTCCTGTTTAGCTTGTTTAACTTACTTTTAGAAAGTGAAACTAGTGCTTAACAATAATGTATTCATATGTAACTAGATTAGAGGTATGAGAGTTGCGAGCACAGCCTTTTTTCTTAAAGACATTCTTTATGAAAAAAGGCTATGTGAATGGCTGGGAACTAAAGTTAGGCCTGAACTTAAACACATGCAATCAGCCAATCAGCTGTATGTATAAAGAATGCTGTACCAAAGGATGCACAGTAGTTCATGACAGTACTGTCAGTCTGTCCACCCTTTGTTAAAGACTGAAGTACAACGATGTCTGAAGAGAGGAAGATGCTCACATTTGTGTGGTGTGTCTGCTTATCATGGAATTGAATTAAGCTGCATTGAAGTGAAGATGAAATTAATCCAAAGACAAACTTAGTGCCAACAAACAATCATTTTAACTATAACTACTGTTCCCACATGTAAAAGCATGGAGGAAAAACTTACACTTTTTCTGGCACTCCTCTAAGTTGGAGCTCACTGGACAGAGTTTTCCAGGCTAGAAGCAAATGACACTACAGTTCAGCAACAACAGGATACCACAAAAAACAACATCCAATTGAAATCTTTTCAAGCTGGATATTTTTACTCACGTGTTGACTCTTTGTAGGAGTTTGACAGACTCTCAGCATCCTAATTAAAGAAAGATGATTTAAAGTGACTACAACATGACAAAACAATCACTTGATATCAATTTAATGCGGTTTATTTTAAGTAATACCGGGCTTCATTTTCATCATCAAGCTGCATCGATGGGTTTAGGAGCAGCGGAGGGGTTCATCTTTATCCTTAAAACACTGATCCAGCATCTTAAAAAAAGAGAAACAATCCATGTTTATTAGATCAACCTTGAACATGGTAATCCTGTTTGAACTGTGCACATACTTCATATGTTATCTCACATGACAGAGAGTTTGATCAGACACACCAGTTTCAGATTCTTTGGATGCACATGTCTGACCTTTGTACTGCTGCAATTCAACTGCTTTCAGATAAACTACATTTCTGTGACACATTAAAAGCATTCATTGTGTGAGTAGATGTGGACAGAAAAAAAACATTAGATATAGACCAGCGGTACCTTTATTTTTTCCACAAAAACTTCATTTCCTGTTGAACTCTTTCTAACAGTCCACTTCTTTGGTGCCACTGGTGGTGGACTCGAGCAGATGTCCTGAGTTTATAATAGAGAAAAAATTCACCAAATAATTAAAAACAATAGAATGCAACCATATATGTTTATATATAGCCACTGCTTAAACTTCTGAGAGTGTAGGCGACTGAACCCAAACCTCTCCAGATTTCGTGGGAGACAGGGGAGCACTTTTTTCTGGCTCATCAGTCTTAGAACTCATTTGAAGGAAGATTTGTTTTCTTGGCAGGGGAGTCGGACGTGGCGAGGGAGTCGGAAGCTTTGGCTGGAGAAAAGAGGGAGCATAATTGAAGGTGCTGCCACAATGTGACAAAGATAGTTATGTAACACAGAATAAGTTTATCAAAGTAGAACTGTGGTCTACAATTTCAATGGCCCCCTCCATGAACCTACTTTTAGAGACCATGAGGCATGTTCATGATACAACATTGAGTCAAATCTAGTGATCTATACATTTTTACAGTGGAATTTGCCTCAAGATTTCTAAGGAACTACAAATCTGAACACATTATATTTCAATTCAGAGTCAGCTTACAGAGCTGAAATTCCAGACAACCAAACTGTTAATCTACCTGGTCAAGCCCGCCAAACAAGGCTGCTTACATCTCTGCAGCTAACACGCCCATTGTGGACTGATTTCACTTTTGCTTTGTGTGCAAATCTAATCTAATTCAAATTTTTTAATGATTCTGGCAACAAAACCTTTGCAGTTCTTTTGAAATATGTTGGAACAAATTCCAGATAGGTAGGATATTTTGACCAAAACAATATGCATGGCAGTTTGAGTAAAAGTTGTTGTCGTCTGAACTTAAATAAAATTCTATTTAAATGTCTTACCTGTGGCATTGTGTAACAGTGCCTGCTGTCTCTGTGTAACTACAGGATGCTGCACTTTGGCTGGTTGATCCACTAAATGAATGCTCATCACACAAACCAAACAGATTGCATGACTGTGACTGAAACGTCACGGCATGGTATCCATTCACCTTTTTTCATTCATTCTGTTGTTGGACTGGAAAATGTTGTTTTTAGGATAACAACACCTGCCACTTGTCGCAAGAAATATTAAAGGAAATCATTTAAAGGAACACTTTAGGAATACTGTGATGAATAAATAACAATTTTCTTTCACCACCTTTTAAAGACTTAGACATGAAATTGTTTTTTACTTTTATCAAAACCTTACTGACTTTGCAAAGGTTTCTGCAAAAAATGCAGGAATAATGCAGAGTAAAAAGGATCCAGACAGAAAAATTACATGTGATGGATTTATGTGAAAAATTGCTGAAATGGAGAAAAGCAAAATAATACTCGTGAAAACATACAGATCAGAAAACAGACAAAGAAAATATATACAACCTGAGAGCATAGCACCAACTACTGTAAGTCACACTACATACATTCAGCAGCCACTTTATTAGGTATACCTGTTCAGCTGCTCAATAATGCAAATACCAAATTAACCAATCATGAGTCAGTAATTCAAATCATTCAGGCATATAGACATGTCCAAGACAGCCTCATGAAGTTCAAACAGAGCATCAAGAAGTAAGGTATAATAGGCATGGTTTTTGGTCTGAGTGTGTCAAAAACTACTGGTCCAAAAAAAGAGAAATATCCAGAGACCAGCAGTTCTCAGGGTGAAAATGCCTTGTTGATGTCAGAGACCAGAGAAGAATCACCAGAGCTGATAGGAAAGCAACAGTAACACAAATAACCAGCGATTATAAACAAACCATGCAGAAGAGCACAACAAATCTTACCTTGAAGCAGTTCGGCTACAGCAGCAGAAGACCACACTTGAAGCCACACATTAATTTGGACCCAAACCCTAATTTTTTTTTTTTTAGGTCATTCAAATTTTTTTTCACAACCCAAGGTGTCCACACCTTATGATAGTGTGAAAATGTAAAAAGGTTTATAGCATAAATAGGTTGAATGATAGGCAGAACTATTTGAATAAACACTGAGAAAAAGTTTGACTGCATTTCTGTAATTGTCATATGGTTTGTATGACACACAGTCAGGTCTGGGGCCTGAGTAGGTTTATGGAGAAGTAACATTTAAAATGTTTCATTTTAAGCTTACGGTTAACAACCACTCATGACATATAAAGTCAAGCTAGGAATGACAAAAGTCTATGTATTTTAAAACTGTACTCAGTATCAGGTGAAATAAAAAACAGAAAAAAGAATTACACTGCCCCCTGGTGGATAGTGTCGGTCTTTAAGTAGTTTATTTAGAAGTCATTTTTAAAAATGTCATGGCATTCTGTTTAACACCTAGCTTAAGGTGTGAATCGACAAAATCTGATTAGATTAGTTGTAGAAATAATCTTAACAGGAAAAATTGGCTAAAGTAAGGGAGGTTAACACAATCTCAGTTTTATACAGCATTAATAACCACATGCCATTTAAAAGAAACTGCTTGAAGTTACAATTCCTAAAGTTGCACTAAAAGTTTTGTTCTGTTTTCAAACCTGTTGCCAAAGAGGTAATATCTATATTGATCAATAAACTTTAATAACAGCTGAAAATTAACATTAAAAGACAACCCCAAAACAAAAGATATTCAAGTGGAGAAAAATACCCTCCTAACAATACTTTTCAAACAGTTCTTTGATTTTGATGGACTCATCCAGTCGTTCCTGGAGATCCACCGCCAAGGAGCGGAGTTTCTTTGCCAACTTTGACTCAAAGCCCTTCTTCACCTTGGTTCCATCTTTTCCTTTGGTGAAGTACATATCCATGCCGAGGGCAAAGCCTTCTATCATCCCAGATGGCTTGGAGTTTGCCTCCAAGACCTTGGCACATGGCCCTCCTAGACCAAAGAACTCCAACAACTTGGAGGCCCTCTCTGACTTCACCTTGGTCCTCTCGAGCATGATGACACCATGCTGCCTCAGCTGCTCTATGCCCTCAATGACATAAGCAAGTTTCTCCTGAATGCCCTTACTGAGGGACTCGTAGTCGGTAAAGACCTTTTCAATTTTCTTCTGGTCCTGGTTGCAGTTCACCTGGAAAAACATGCTTCACAATCAGTTCAATACCAGAAATTCAGATTACTAGTGTGGGTAGTTTCCAGTTAGTACCCTTTATTTATTGTGATAACATAAAAACAGGGCTTTTGATCTTGAGAGACTTTATATTGTAAAAGAAGACATTCAGCATTTTAGATTGAAGTCCTGGAACTCCAAATTAACAAAAAAACAAAAACAAAAGTGAGTCAGAATAGATTTGAAAAATGTATTTTCTCTTAAAAATTTAGGAAAACCTATCAACCTACAAAAACCATGAACAAAGATGTTTTAACCCAGTGCCTTAAAGACCATCACCTTATTTGCGATGGCTGCTGATGCACCAGTAACACCGCCGGCTGCAGCCACGCCGACCCCAACAGCAGTTAGTGCCAGCGAGGCTCCCAGCGTGAACGGGGACAGGATCACCCCAGCAGCTGCTGCCACACCTCCTGCTACAGTTGTAGCGCCTCCTGTGATGCCAGCGATTTTTGTCCCCTTTGAAACCTGAAAAAGAAAATGATTAAAAAGGGAACCTATGGACACAGATGTACATATATCCATAAATATATCCACACCACCTTATCCAAGTTGTCAGCGATGGAGCCAAGCTCGTCTATTTTTTCTTTCAGCCCGCCTTGACACCCAGATGTCGTCGAGATGTAAGAATTGAAAGCTTTATGAAGATGTTCGGCTTTAACTTCTATGACCCTAGAATGTGTTATAAAAACTTTATTAATTCACCTTTAATATCAACAAAACCATTTGCATTTTAAACACACTTATTCATGATAACAGACTGTAATAACTTTGGTGATTCTCTGACTTTTCCTAAATTAGGAAAAGCACTGCATTTATCACGGATAACTGGAAAACTGCACTTTAATTTACAGTGTAAGTCTTCATTTGCTTCACGAGCTGCTTCTTTAATTTAGTTTGTGGTAGATTATTTGGTGAAGCACGTGTGTCATGACTGCCTGCTGTGAGTATATCTTTTCTTAAGCACTTAGTTTTACGTGTTTCATACTATTAAGAGTTGTTTTGTATTAAAAGTCTGCTTTTGTTTTGGTTCTTTTCTCTACAGAAGTATTTGGACCAGATGGAAAGCAGCACTCAGGACACTATTTATTTATTTATTTTTACTCAGGACACTATTTATTTATTTATTTTTACTCAGGACACTATTTGAAATCAGTGTGAATCTGCGTGTCGTTAATCATTTGAAGCAGGAGACATGTAATGAAAGTACAGGAAAGACTCCTCCAAACAGCTCAAATCAACAACTAACCTCAGATGTCTTTAGCCACATCATTCTAATGAATCTCATTTAGTAAAAATAAAAACACACACACAAAAAACTGTTTTATTTGCCTTAGTCACCAATGTCAAATAAAATAAAATGTTCTTTTGTGCCCTTCCATGTTTATGGAACTTATTCCTGTTTAACTTGTTTAATTAATTTAAGAAAGTGAAACTAATGCATAACAAAAAGGCATTCATATTTAATTATTATCATGAGAGATATGGGAGTTGCCAGCCCTGCCCTAGTTGTGTATGTTCATGAACAAAAAGGTCAGAGAGAACGAGCCCCTTCCGGCATCTCTGCATGCCTTCACTTTCACTTGCATTGTTCTTTTTCTTTCTTTCTTCCAAATGTTTTGTGAAATTTTGTGGTCTTGAAAACTGCTTTCCTCCTCAGCTTTGGGCAGCGAGAGCCAGTGTAGCATACAAAGATGTTCTTTAAGCAAAAAGGCTATGTGAATGGCTGGGAACTAAAGTTAGGCCTGAACTTAAACACATGCAATCAGCCAATCAGCTGTATGGTATAAAAGAAGTGCTGTAGCCAAAGGAGTGCACGAGTAGGTTCATGACAGTACTGTCAGTCTGTCCACCCTTTGTTAAAGACTGAAGTACAACGATGTCTGAAGAGAGGAAGATGCTCACATTTGTGTGGTGTGTCTGCTTATCATGGAATTGAATTAAGCTGCATTGAAGTGAAGATGAAATTAATCCAAAGACAAACTTAGTGCCAACAAACAATCATTTTAACTATAACTACTGTTCCCACATGTAAAAGCATGGAGGAAAAACTTACACTTTTTCTGGCACTCCTCTAAGTTGGAGCTCACTGGACAGAGTTTTCCAGGCTAGAAGCAAATGACACTACAGTTCAGCAACAACAGGATACCACAAAAAACAACATCCAATTGAAATCTTTTCAAGCTGGATATTTTTACTCACGTGTTGACTCTTTGTAGGAGTTTGACAGACTCTCAGCATCCTAATTAAAGAAAGATGATTTAAAGTGACTACAACATGACAAAACAATCACTTGATATCAATTTAATGCTGTGTTTATTTTAAGTAATTACCAGGGCTTCATTTTCATCATCAAGCTGCAGTCGATGGGGTTTAGGAGGCAGTGGAGGGGGTTCATCTTTATCCTTAAAACACTGATCCAGCATCTTAAAAAAAGAGAAACAATCCATGTTTATTAGATCAACCTTGAACATGGTAATCCTGTTTGAACTGTGCACATACTTCATATGTTATCTCACATGACAGAGAGTTTGATCAGACACACCAGTTTCAGATTCTTTGGATGCACATGTCTGACCTTTGTACTGCTGCAATTCAACTGCTTTCAGATAAACTACATTTCTGTGACACATTAAAAGCATTCATTGTGTGAGTAGATGTGGACAGAAAAAAAACATTAGATATAGACCAGCGGTACCTTTATTTTTTCCACAAAAACTCCATTTCCTTCTGGACTCTTTTTAACAGTCCACTTCTTTGGTGACACTGGTGGTGGACTCGAGCAGATGTCCTGAGTTTAAAATAGAGAAAAAAATCACCAAATAATTAAAAACTATTAGAA